CGGTCATAAGAGACATTTGCATAGAGAACCCGATATCTGAAAGTGCCTAGTGCAGATCTGCAAGATAGAAGTACTATAACAAGTGTATAGTTGCCATACAAAAAACATTAAAAGGCCAATTCTACGCACATAAAATTTCCATCTTCACAATCTGTCGCCATTCGCAATAAGAGAGGTGGTTTGTTGGGTTTGCCATCAGTGAGGAAGAGCTGACTGCCAGTTCGTCCGGTTATAAAGGGGGCAATCGGTGCAGCAAGTTTCTCGAAGATAGGCACACCAAGAAGAAATGGAAGCTGAATCATACAAAAGAATTAACTGTCTCGAGGTCAAGTTCCAAATCACTAACATTAATGATTAAGTTTTCATAAAAGCTTAAGCATCCATGTAAAATTATGTTAGTTTTTTGCTAAAAAAGAACTCGAAAGCAAACTGGATAAGATGCTATGTCACTTGACCAGAATGATTAAAAAAAAATTCATCAGCTAGAAGAACAACCAGGAGAGAGCAAGCGAAAAGAATAGAGAAATTTGTAGGGGAATACATAGCAAGGGCATTGGATCAAATCTAAATGAAATTTGACAATTTTAATCTATCAGAGAAAACTTCAAGTTTGACTAATTGCTAAGTTGCACGGACATGGACACATGACACTCACACGATACTATACTATACTATACAGACACGTGGATACATGATTTTTCAAGAAAGGAGGTATGGACACTTTGACTTAATTCTTCAAAATTTAAAATCCATATATTATATCTTTATTTTCATAATTTTTTATTTAGGGAATGACACATGGAACATTGGATTCTTGTCCGAAAGGTGTCTTCAGATTATCCCTTAGGGTGCAGCTATTTAAAAATATATATATAAAAAATAGGACATAATCATGTGACTTGTTGGATATATGTTCTTTAGTGTCCAAGGATTGTCGATCCGACTTGACTTGTCATGTTTTGGACATGGACACATCATCCTAATTGGCGTATCCATGCATCATAGGCTAATTGTATCTCCATTACCTCCATTTCTTCAGGGAAAACTCCTATTTTCCTTTCTTTATAATGAATGTCTAAACAGATGCATGTGAAAATAAAACAAAAAGGGTGCAAAAACCATTCATTCAATTCAGTGAAATTTACATATATGAATACGAGTTAATACTGCCGTCAATTAACAGAAAAACAACTTCAATAAATACCTGCTTCTTTCCTCTCACTCCAAGATGAGGTGTTGCCAAGGTAATAAAATTAATTGGTTCCAACCCAGCAATCAAACCTCTATTTGAAGAGAACAACATTTTTAAGTTTGTATCAGTGGAGCTGGCTAGCATACAAGAGACGTTGGGCACAAACAAAACAGCAACTGCATATCTTGCAAATAATCCACCAAGAGAATGAGCCAAGAAAGATATCCGTTTTAGGCTTTCTGTTCTTTTCACAACCTGCATGACCTGCTTATAGCAAAACTTGTGTAAAAAGAAAATTATAAAAAGTTCTACGAATGTCTCCCTGTAGAACCATGAATTTAGAAAAGGTAAAGTACTGACAGAAGGATCAGACTTTATGGATTACAAGATAAAGATTTGTGGCCCAGATGGTTCCTTGAACAAATCAGAATTCATATTTTACAAGAAAAATTACCTATCATAAAATAACAAACGAACAAATGAAGCCATCTAAAACTCACTTCATCCGCCAGTCGTTTACCAGCTCCGTCAATTCCAGTAAAGGTTTTAGTGTACATATTAGAAGAACTTGCTGCACAAAATAGGCAAATTACTCTTAGACCTGAATGGACTTTGAGAATTTAATGAGCACCAAAGCAATAGGCAGTGCATTTGAATTTTAACTTGAATTTAGAAATATGGTTAGTTCAATATACCTAGACAGGACATAAAGAAAGAAATGTGCAAGGTAGTTATCAAAATCTTATGTCTACAGATATCATGTTTCATGAATTTCAATACAGATGCTGTTTTCTGCCTCATTTTTGCAAGACAAGTGGATATATGCTTTCAAAGACAGTCACTTGATTGCTAGCCAAGCCTACACCTGCAACCTTCATAAAAAAATGCACCTAAACAATCACCATATTGCCTCACAAGAGGGGCAGAGCCAGGGTTCAAATATAGGGGGCTAGTATAATTTTTTTTTAAAGTGAATTCGAGAATATGAAAAATAAATTATTTATTTTAAAGCCAAAAAAAAAAAATAAAAAAAATTTCCAAGTCAGTTGACATAGTGAGTGCAATCAAGTTTTGATGAGAACAAGATTGTAGAGTTTAACTACAATCAAATTAAATTGACTAGTATTGACTTAATTAAAGTGGTTCTCAAAAAATGCGAAGACCTCCATATGATTATTAAATTTTATTCATGCTTATAGCTTAAACATTCTAGCACATTCTCTTCGAAAGTGTTGAAGATAATATTTAAATGGTGTATATATGGCCTTATCTAAAGCTTATACTTTTAGATGAAGTGATACAACGTGATATATCCATGTTCAAGTTCCGCCGTCATCCATTCCATTTATTAGGTTCTTTGATGGAAGAACAATATATATTTAGCCGTATCTTACAACCTAAGCTTTTTGATCAAGTATTTTACAGGAAAGTTCACATGAATAAAAAAATTTATGCAAGCAATAAAAGGCATAGCACGACACATTCTCCTTTTCTTCCTTCTTAATCAAATTCCCAATTCTTAACCTTTAGTTTCTATCACAACAAAACTTCACCCAAACTCACCCAACTACAAAGGTGAAGCAGTACATTCCAATCGCAGAAAATTTATCAGAATACAATCAAAAATTTTTCGGCAAATTTTAACTTTATGTTGTTTCTGGGCTTGGTGCGGCACTGAGCTGGCCCCCTTGCCTCACGATATGCATACCCTACTGATAACTCAAAAATAGTCCACATCTCACTAAGTGTCCTATTTAATATGTGACGGGACCAAAATAGGGACAGTAAACGAGACGGGAAGTATGCCTGTCTCCCAAGCAAACATCACAAGAACACAAGTAGCAACGTGTAAAAAATGAGTTACATTCTTTTCTATTAGTCAAATATAATTAAGATTTAGGGCTCAAAATGCCAATAGTCTTCACATGTTTTTTCTTTTTTGCTACAGAGTAAAGTTTCAGCATTCTTGAAATGCCCAAACGCAAAAACAAAAACACAAAAATTACCAATGACCTCAGCATGATGTCCTATATTGGAGGCATTTATAAGTAAAATAAAGGAGACTAATAAATCCAAATTAAAATAAATCATATGGATCCATTGTGCACTGGTCCTCATTTTAATTAGTAGAAGGCAAGGCTATCACAGAATCTATGTTTATTCTGGACTAAAAGAGATTTAAGTCCATAAAATTCATCCTTTGAGACAATTCTCTCAGCTGTGAGGCCTCCTCATGAACCTATTCCCTCTCTATTT